CTGCGTGGCCGCGCCGGCTGCGGGCAAGGTAGGCGCCGCCCGGTCCCTGCCAGGCCGGGTGCCCAGGGCAGCTCCCGGCCCGCTCCCGGGGTACTGGGACGCCATGGCTCCCCAGGAGCGCCGCGGCCCCCTCCTCCTCCCGCCGGGAGCGGGGCGCTGAGTCCGCCCAAGCTGGGAAACTCTGGTCCCTACAGATTACCAGGCGCACTGGGTGAAACACGTTACAGCGGCTTCAGGGGCTTGGAAAGACCGAAAGGAGCCCACAGCCAGGGCAGGGAGCCACTTTTGCAGCCCAGACCAGCTAGTATTTGGGGGGAAGCCTTAACTGCCTTTACGGTGGGGAATCGTGGTCCCCACACCAGTTACACACAGGGTACGATATTGGCACACAGGGTGCGCTATATCCAGGCATCCTCGGGGCCCAGGCCAGTACAGAGTCCTTAAGGAGGGGGCCAGAGAAAGGCCTCTTCTGGGAAGGCTGGATGCAGGCGTGGACTTTGCTGGCAGCCAGCTGCTGACCTTGAGGGAGCTGCTGACCAATGGTCTCTAAAGTTGTAAGTCTGTGCTGCTCCCTAGAGATGTGACAGGGGATGAAACCCAGCCGGGCACCCTCTGTGGTGTCACCCGGGGATTCCAGAAGGAATTAAAGGAACCGACACCAAGTATAAAGTAACGATTGAGACAGAGTCCTGAGAAGTTGAGCTGTTTTAGGATCTGGGCTTTTTGCTGACCAGCGAGGTGAGCTCCTGGCTTGGTCCAGGTGCCCCAGTTATCCCTAAGTGGAACATGGCTGTTGTCAGCCTCCAGGGAGAGAGTGCTCTGTGGGAGGACCTGGCGCTGTGCCGGGTGGGGGGGTAAGTGCTCAACAACTGTTGCCTGCGATTATCTGAAGGCCCTGAGCCCTCCCCTCCTGCTGGGAGGTGGTGCAGTCACTCCCCTCTGAAGGCGCGGAGGGGCCCTGTGCTGAGCACTTCTCAGCTGCTTCCTTGCTAATCAAAAAGGCACTGAAAGGTTAAGGCTGGTGGTTCTTGGGCAGCTAAACGGCCATGTCAGACCGTGGATACAGAAAATGGAATTTATTTAAGGAAAGGGGGTGGGGGATACCCAAAGGGAAGGGCTACACACACTGAGCCAAAGGGTACTGGTCCTTGACGGCAGCAAACATATACTTGGGACAGTGAGACAGGGGAGAGCATCCAGGAGGCAGCAGGAGAGCCCGGGCTGGGCTCCTTTTGCTCACTGAGAAGTCAGGAGAAGGGGGCCTTCCAGACAGTTTCAGGGGATAAGCCCGGGATGAGCTGCCGCTGCCCACTGCTCCCCTGGTTGTAAGTCTCCTGGGGTCTCGTCGGAGGGAAGAAGGGGGGTGGAGGTGGCGCTGGGGTGCTCCCCTGGTGGGGAGTGTGCACTGGGTCCTTTGTCCTGAGCATATCGATCTCTTTATTGCAGGTGGGAATCTTAGGGGAGGTCTCAGGGGAGGGTCTCAACAGAATATTCATCAGCTCTCCAGGTGCTCTTTCTGGGTCGTGGCCTCCGCTGATGGTCATCACTGGGGCCGGGGGTCGTTAGCCAGTGCAGCTGGTCCTGAGGCAGCCATGGTGCGTCTGGTCTAGTTTTATTGTTTTTCTTGGCCTGGAGCTGAAATGCAACTGAGACCTAGATGTTATCTTTAGGGAGGAAATGCTCAGGGGTCTAAACCTCTTGACCATCTATATGCTCGGGGACGATAGTTACCCTGAGGACAAGGTTCTTGTTTACCCAGTTTTGCCCCTTGCTGGGCATCCGGGCTTCCTGCCCTGGTGAGTTTCTGTAACCGGTCTCTCTACCTGGGTTTCTATACCTGGACCACCTAACAGGTGCCTGCGATGCTTCTTGTTCTGTTGATGGAGAAACTGAGGCCAGGTGAGGGGCAGTCATGGGCTTGGGTCACAGCCTCTAGGTGCCAGATTGGGCTCTGAACTCACAGGCGCCTATCTCTCCAACCCCAGCTCTTAAACACGGTGGCGTTGCCACTGTCTGTAGCCATAAGTGCCATGTATTGAGTGTTTACTGTGCCAGCAGCTGTGGCCACACTTTACATGCGCTATCCGCCTAGTCTGTTGGGGTGAGCAAGCAGGCTCAGAGAGACTCTACCCGGGGGCCCCCAGGCCTGCATCTGCTTTTCCTCCTGCTGGCCCTCAGCCCCTTTCCCTCTCCACACGCCAGGCAGGAAGTTTTCCAACCCCCCTCCGCCCGGGCCCCTGCCTGACTGTCAGCTGCAGCCGGAGCAGCTGGCCGTGCTGGGCGCAGGGCAAATATTTACAGCCCGGAGCTCACCCTGGACCGCACAGGCTACAAAGGCCTGGAGAGACCACGAGTCACCCAGCAGGGCTGAGCCTGGGCTGAGCAGGCGCCGGCCTGGGGAGCAAGCCTGGGTTTTTGCAGTCTGTGCTGTCTTCCGGACTCACTGTGTAGTTTTAAGTGATGCTTGTTTATAAATAAGCCATTCACTCCCTGGGGTTGACACGCCATTCATTGTTAGAATAGTTTATTATTTTTCTTGCCTTTTTGTTTTCCTTCTGGAGTGTTTGGGTAAATTCTCTCAGAATCAAAACTACGATACTTGAATGAAAACTGAATGCTTTTGAAGCTCTGAGCCGTAGGATAACCAGAGTCTTCAGCTTGGGGCTGAGATGTTGCCTGTTGAGTTTACAGAGTGAGTCCCCTGGAGTTGGAGCCCTGGCTGCTCTGCTCCTCGGGGCCAGCCAAGCTCCAGGAATGGCTGGGGGAGAGCTGGGCTGGTTCCTCTCTGGCCCCAGCCCGGGACCTCAGCCAGGCCTTTGGGAAGCTCCTCTGGCCCCAGGTTAACCCTCCGTGGCCCTTGCTGTTCCCGTACATGCCGTTTAAGAACTTGTTTATTTTTTTGGATGGCCTCTGCCTCCGCTGGACACTGTTTATTTTCCAAGAGGCAGAGGGTTGGTGTCCCGAGGAAACTCATGCATAAGAGTTTTATTTTTTTATAAGTCATGATGTTTCCATTTCTGCTACAGGCTGAAGTAGACAGGAAACAGTCAGGTTTTTCAGTACCAGCTCTCCAGGCCTGGCCCTTGTCCCATAAAACTCTCTGGCGTCATTTCACATCTTAGCCGCCCAGTACTCCAGGTTGGTTGGCTGTTCTCAGGTGGAGCTAGAGCAGCACCTCTTGGACTTCCCACAATCAGAATCACCCAGAGAGCTTGTTAAACAGACTCCTGAGTCTTACTCCGAGGTTCCATCCACGAGGGGTGTGAGGTTTGCGCTTGTGACAAGCTCCAGGTGAGGCTGTTCCCCCTGCCACACTTACAGAGGTCAGGCTCGATATGGACACCTGTATGCTGGGCTCCTCTGCACAGTATTTATTTTCCCGATTGTCATATGCACAGCCCTGCCTAAGTGCTCCCAGGAAGCCCAGGGCAGGTTCCAAACTCCAGTCCACCTAGCGGGATGCAGTCCATCAGATGGCTTAGAGGGGCATCTTTAACTGGCGTGAAGCCACAGTCTCGGTGACGTGGGCTTGAGTGAGTTAAATAGTGTTGCTCTCAGCCTTAGTTTCCCTCCCTGACTCACCCGTTTGATCCTAAGAACACACACATTCCACAGCAGAGCGTCTTGGGCCTTTGGGCATAACTTCCTCGGAACTGTTGAGAACTTGGGACTCATCCTGGATCCCTCTGCTCTGCTCCCCCCCCAGTTTGTCCTGAAATCCTGTTGCGTTTACCCCCTACACGTGCCTTGAAGGTGTGCCCTGCTTTCCTCCCCATGATGACCACCTTTCCCACACCAGGGTTTCCAGCTCAGCCCTGTTCACTCGTGGGCTCTGTGTGTGTGTGTTCGGGGCGGATGTTCAGTGCACTGTAGGGTGCTGAGCGGCATCCCTGACCTCTGCCCACGAGATGCCAGCAGCAACCCCCAGTCATGAGGGCCACAGACACCTCCAGACACGGCCATGTGTCCCCTGGGGAAAATACCGGCCTGGTCTCCCTCCCCGTCACCTCTTGCCTGAACCACAGTTGCTCCCGCTAAGTTCTTGCTTCCCTTCGATTTGCTCCTTACCTGGCACCAGGGATGATCCCTCAGAATCGTAGGTCTGAGCTCACTCTTCCTCCTCAGACCCTGCTGGGCCTCCCAGGTTCTCCCGGGGGCTGTGTGGTCCAGCGCACTGTGCACCTGCCCTTCCCTCCTCCGCTTCCCTGAGCGCCTCCCCCGGCCCCTCCGGGCCGTCCACCTGCTCGTCTCTACCTGGGACAGTCTCTCCAGCTCCGGCTCCCCCTCCTGCCCCTGCACTTAGTGTCCGTCTCTGGATGACCTGCTTGTCTCCTCTGTGGGTTGTGGGTCAGGGATGGATGCAGGCCTGTGTCTAAGCAGGGACTCAGGGCGCCCTGAGTGAGCTGCACGTGGTTTTGTCCAGACCCCGGAGTCTGTGGTATTGGGTTCCTGTGCCTCTCCTGCCTTGGGAGGATCCTCTGAGCTGCTCTGAGCCTTACTTGCCTTATCTGTAAAATGGGACGATACTGAGCCTGCTGCTGGGTGGCGTTGGGATTAGATGTGATGATGCCCACGAGGTGCCAGGAACACTCACCCAGCTGTTGCTGAGCTTCTGCCAAGTGTCTGGTGCCTGCAGGTGTTCAGGTCTTTTCCAAACAAACAGCTGAGGAAAGGTTAGGATTCAAAGTGGTTTTTGTGGAGAAGGAGCAGGCGCCTGGTGCTTCCCCCGAGTGACCATCCTCCAGTTCCCATCCATCCCCTGACCGACCCCTGGGGCAGCTGCTGCATCAGGTCAGCTCCTGTGGTCGGGGCTGAGACGTGAGGAGGGGAAGCTGGTGACGGAGGTGAGGTCATGGTTGTCGTGTGACATGCTTATCCCCTGGAATCACAGCTGGGAGGTCACAGCCCAGCCCCTGCCGTCCTGTGAGAAGCCCTGTCACCGCCGGGCAGCCGGAAGAAAATGCTCAGGATGGGTCCCCGGAGGCCTGAACTCCAGGCACTGAGCCCGCCTGTCTGCCGTCCGCCGATGCCTGTGGGTCTCGGGGTCGTGTCACCAGACGCGTGGACTCACCAGGAATGCAGACGAGCTCCCCGTGAGACCAGAGCTGCGACCTGCAGCCAGGCTCCTGGGCCAGAGATGTAGAGGTTCGGGTTCCTCAGGCTGTTTAAATAGAACAGCAGACGGGTGTGTGTTTGGCCAGGGAAGCACCGAGAATCTTCCCTTATTTCTCTCACATTATTTTTCAAAAGTCTGCCTGGCTCATAGACGAGCATTTTGTCTCCAGAAAAGCTGTCTCTGTCCCTTTGACCCTGTGCCCTGTGCCCGTCTCATCCTCTCCGCGCCGGCTTTGGGGACGGACACCTGCCACCAGCACTTCTGTTGACTCTCATCCACTTTGAATTCAATTCCAAGCATCGTCCCCTGGCTCAGTCTCAGGCTTGAGCGCTCCTTCGTCTGTTCTCCCTCCGAGATTTCTTCCTGTGGAGCGGGAGGCTGGGTGGCAGGGTGGCCGCTGTCCCGCTAAGAATGGTTTGAAGGACAGAGGACACGGGTGTCCTGTGTAGGGTGTGAGACCCCACTTCTTTGGAGAGAATGTCTGGCAGCTGCTCTGCTCCCCCAGCCCCCACCCTGCACATTTCTGCGCTTTCTTGTCACCGAGCCGCAGACAGAGCTGGGTCCCAGCTGTGCGGTCCCTGGGAGCTTTGCATGTTCCGAGGCTGAGGTGTCGTGTCCCCCAGAGGCACAGGCCAGCGGTCAGTCAATTATAGTTCTCAGAACCCGCGGGCGGCGCTCCAGTCTGCCGGCTCTGGGCTGTGAACCCCACAGCGGCAGCGACCAGAACACCCATCCCTGGGCGGAGAGGGGATGTTAGAAGAGTCCCCATTGAGGGGTGGCGATGGACTCGGAGGACTGCCCACCGATTAGGAGATGGCGAGCTTCCAAGTGGCCCAGCTGGAGGTTGTGAAGAACAGTGACAGAGAGGAGGGACTTTGCCCATAAGACAGTTTGCATTTTCGGGCACTTGGAAAAAATAACCAGCCATCATAAGGTGTCTTTTGACAAAGGACATTTGGTTTTTCCTTGGTCCCTGTGACTTTTATTTCCACCCCCAAATTCTTGTCCAATTAGACCCTGCGGTGGAAGCTGGGCAGAGAGTGTTGTGGGCAGTTTCAGCTTCGATGTGGGGCCCCTTCTCAGTGAGTCCCCGCGTGGCCCACACCGCGTGTCCTTTTCTGCTGGGACTTCCCGGTGGACGTGCTCTCGGCACCCCCGAGCGAACGTCTCCGCCCTTCTCCGTTCTGAGGGCCCGAGCACCCTGGACGGGGTCCTGGCGGGGACACTGGTCACTGAGGATCCTTACAGCCTCCTGTTTCCCAGGGAGACGGTGATGTCCCCGGACCCCAGAATGGCAGGTGTCTCCTCCGCCCAGCCCCAGGCTCTTGGCGTGAGCCCCTTGCTCTCCTGGGTTCTGGCTCCTGGGGTCACGTGGCACCTGGGAGGAGTGACAGACATGGGACAGCTCTAGGGTGACCCTCGAGGAGGTGACATCTCACGTCCATGCTTGTTTTGCTGTTTTTCTGTTTATTTGTTTCTTTTCTTCCCAACCATCAAGACCCACTGACGTGGGAGGAGGCGGGGCAGGCCCCCGGGTCTCGGCTGTCCCCGGTCCCTGTGCGACTGCCTCCCAGCCTCTTCCTTGCTGTCCACGCCTCCTCTCCTGTGTGAGCCAGCGGCTGTGGCCGTCTCCGCCCGGGGCCACTCTGTGCCCTCTTGTGTTCTGAGCAGTCACACTGGCCACATGCTGCCGTGTGCTGGGCAGCGACCTTGGGACGGGAGAAGCTGCCATTGTCCCCATTCTGTGGGCGAGGAACCCGATCTTGGGCTTTGACTGTGGGTCCAAGATCTTAGCCACTGCCTCAGGGTTGCTGTCGGGAGCGTAAGACACGCTCCGCCCCTGCCGTGATGAGAGCACAGTCCAGAGGAGCCTTGCTTAGAACTCTAATGGCAGAGCTGATCGGGCGCCTAACCCTTCGTGACGCCGGAGCAGGAGGTCTCAGTCCTTTGAGGCAGAGGGACTCAGCAGCAGCTACACGGCGTGGCCTTGGCGTCCGTGGGCCTGGTTCCATCCTGCCTCTCGCTGCGCAGCTGTGTGACCTCGGGCAGGCGTGTGGATTCTTGAGCCTGGGACCCTCTGGTGTGGAGCGTGGATGTCATTCCCGCCCCAAAAGCCTGTCTGTTGGTCCCTCCGCTGTTTGTGTGAAGGGGGCTCTTCCCCCGCTTTGTTTCCCTCCTCGGGCCACAGAGGAAATGTTGAAGCGTGGGTTCGGATACACCCTGAAATAGACCAGTGTTGGTTAATCTTCCTTTGGATGAAAGATGCCAGAGCATTTGTCCAAATCTCATCAGTGGGTGGATGGAACTGACCAAAAATTATTTAAATACCCTTTTTCCTGAAGCATTTTGAGCCCAGAAACAGGTTAAATGGTTAAGCAGAGATCAGTGTTAACTTGTTAAACATGCCATGTGATGCCCAGTGTTTAAACTCTGTTCATGTTTCTTCTGAGAAATCAGACATTTAAGCAGTTAAGGTGGTTTCGGGGGAGGGGAATGGGAGAGAAAATGAGACTCAAGCTCAGGGTGTTGGAGCCAAGGGAAGGCCTTTGGTGAGGGCTGGAGAAGAGAAAGGAGCTGGGTCCAGGCAGACCTCATCCCGTCCCTTGTTCTGTTCTCTCCATGTGTTCTCTCACGACTGCAAATAGTCCTAAAATAGGCAGTGGCACCTACGGCCAATGTCCACCCCCTTGGACAGCCGACGAGGTCAGGGTGTCATTGAAAACGAGAATACCCCTTCTTTCCAGTGACGGCGTCTGGCAAGGAAGTGTAGGCGGTCAGCTCGATGGTACCCAAACCTTTGCAAACTGGTGTTCAGCTGAGGGACGTTGTGTCTCACCTGTCCCTTCAGAGAGGTGAGGCCCCTGAGGCTGGCGCCAGGCTTGGTGTCCGTGGGACCTCAGGTTGGGTCTTTGGGAGATGAGTAGTTCAACGAACAATTGGAAATTTTGTTCTGACATTGGTTTCCTGGGTAAGACCATCTGTAATGAGTCCCTTTAAGGAATGTTTTGAAACCCCAGCAATTGAACCGTCTGGGGAGGGTTGAGTTGTCGACACCCCACATGAAGAGGGAGTTGTACAGAAGGTGACTGAGGTCCAGAATTGGAGAGAGTGGGCGTAAGTCCGCAGGCCCTCTTGCTGGCTCTCAGACGTGAGGCAGGTTCTCCGTCACGCTCCCTGGGGCTCACCACCTATAGCATGAGATTAGTGCCCGGTGAGGAGATTGGCCAGGTTTTTAAATAAAGCACTGAACACGCAATATGATCTCTGGCACGTAGTCAGCTGCCAGCAAATGCTGGCTGTTACCATTGTTAATGCAGTTTAATAAGGTCTCTTTAGTTTTCTTTCATTTGTTTAAAAGAATAGGTGGTTATCACACAGATTTGAAACTGTTTTTAGTGATGTGATTGTGTCTTCTCCTATGTGCTGCGTTTTTACTGCGCAGTTTCCAGCATTTACTAGTTACCAAAGCCAGAAACATAAGACAACGTGTTCAAATTCCCAAGGTTTTCAGTCCCCTGAAGTAGCCAAGCTAGAAATGGACTTACCAAGAGTTTCCGTTCTGAGGCAGAAAGATAAATTGTTTCAGTTTGCGAATCAATATTTTACATTGTTAAACTGTTAGGCCCAACTTCTAGTCTGTTACAGCCCCGAAGTTGTTGCCTGCTAACTTGTAACTCAAATTAATTACAAAGATTGTAGCAGAGATAGGTGCTTCCAAGCAGCACTGGGCGGGGAAAACACTTCAAAGGCTGTAGCTAGGTTCTCAGACCGGGGCTCTGCTTTAAGTGCGGTAGGTTGATGGGAACTTTTATATTAAATACTCTAATGTCGAGGAAGTGACCCTAGGAATGAGCATTTTATGTTGCTCTTATAGGAAGCCTAGTCTTTTCATCAGAAACTGATTTTTTCTAGTGATAATCATCATTTTTGTTTTTACAGCATTATAATGATTGACGCTTAGGCTCAAATGAAACTTTTGAAAATATTTGAATTCTGCTTATAATAACTAGTCCTGAGAAACAGCTGTGGTTACTGAGAACTTTAAGCTTGGAGATAATTCTGCACATTGAGGCCCATTTTTCTTTTCTGTGCGTGTGTGTCTGCGTTTGGCTCCAGCCCGTTCGCACACAGGTTAGTCTGTTCGTGTTCATTGGCTTGTTACTTGAGGAGTTTGCTCAGTAGCCCTGTCTGCTCCGTCCCTGGGACGTGAACGTGGCCCATGAGACCTGCCCTGGGGGATTCTGCCTGTTTGGTGTGAGGGTTCGTGTTGACCCACCCACGTTAAACAGAGTGTTTCCAGTTAAACCACGCTGCATCTCCTGTGGAAGCCACTGTTACCTGTGACAACACCTGCCCCTTTCAGTAGATGCAGGATTCCTCAGTTTCCCCTCCAGCTTTGCACTGGCTTTTCTTATGCTATCCCAGACATCTCCCCAGCACAGATGACTGTTGACAGATGTCTGGGAGGGTTGTCATTAGCACCTTTCACGACATAACTGGGATGCTGGGTTGGGAAGCAGACAGACAGGTGTGTTGACAGCCCTCGTACCTCGGGCATGTCATGGGAAGACGCACTTGCAGGCTAGAGTCTGGGTGGAAGGCGCTCTCCAGGCATCTGGACATCTCCCAGGGTCTCCCATGGTCACTCCAGGGCCACAAGTGTCTGGAAGTGCTTGTAACCTAATCACAGGGCAGAACGTCAGCTTGGACCCTGCAGTTCCCTTGGTTAAACTCCCCAAGAGGCAGAGCATTTTTAATGATCAGTGGGGTGATCCATGAGTCCCCTTAGGTAGAAGAGAATTCCTGCCTCCTGTTTTCTGTCTGTGAATAAACTTGACCTCATTTGTTTCCTCCAGGGCGAAGAGACCAAAAGCCTGACCCTGGTCCTGCACCGTGATGCTGGCTCTCTTGGCTTCAACATCATCGGTGGCCGGCCATGTGCGGTATGTTCATTGCTAAGTGGGTTTCCCTCCCTGGTGTGGCTGGAAGAGGGGCCGGCCTGGGGAGTGGGGGCCAGACCCGCGATCACTTTCTTCATTGCTGTAACTGGAGACTTCGTTGTTTATGTCGAGTCCTCACCCTTGGGGACTCTTTGGTTGTTTCCTACAGTGGTGTCATCCTGGTAATATGGCAGCTTGTGCACGCTGCCCAGATTCAGCGTGGCGTCTGCATGTGGGGTATTCGAACTAACCAGCATGGTGGGCGGTGCATGCAGGTGGCATTGAGCTGGAGTGTGGGCTCCTGTCATCACTGTGCATCAGGGACAGGTCCGCGCTGTGGGTTTGTGAGCTTTGCCTCTCTTCCCACTGCGGCTCCTGGTCCACCCACCCATCCTAGCCCCTCGTCCAGAGAGAAGGGCTGACTTCCCACCTGTCAGGTTAACTTCTGGGATGTGTCTGTGCCGGGCTCCGGGGAGAGGTGGCAAAGCGGGTGTCGGGGTCTCAGCTCCAGGTGGGATTCCCTGAATGTGTGTCATCTCTCGCTTGTTTTTTTTGCTGACTGTTTCCTCATTTATAAACTGTGTACAGGCTTGGCTGTACATTTATAGACACAGGCAGAGTAGATTGAGCATGTTCTTAAGGGCCGTGGGATTTCAGACGGTGAATGAGCACTGGCTTCAACTTGAAGCCACAGCCGCATGAGCTGCTCACAAGAGAGGCAGCCTGTCCTTGAGGCTTTGCACCCGGGCACTGACGACTCCCCTCTGGCTGTGAAAGTCCTAGATGGCAGCGCCTTCCAACACGAGGCCCTTTTGTTAGTGGAGCAGTCGGAACACACACAACATTTATCAGTGAAGTTCACTGATTTTTGGGGGGCATGGTTTGTGGTTCCCCAAAATAATTACAATAGAAACATCAAAGACGACTGATTGCAGATCAGTGTAACACATGCAGTAATCGTGAAGTGTGTGAAATACTGAATCACCACAATGTGACAGACACAGAGTGAGCAAATGCCAGCAGAGCAAAACACACCCCAAACCTTGTCCGCTCACCTTGATAGGTGACTTTATATGTGCCGGGGGAGTAGCCAAACACAGGCTAAGATGTCTTTTAAGAGAAAAATCTAGCTATCGGCGTGGACTTGATTGCTTTCTTTGAGTTTTGTGTTTTCCGTAGGTTGTGTTTCTGGTCTCACCCTCTACACGGTTTTGATTGAACCTAAACTGTGCTGTTTGCCGTTGCCTGTTCTCTCGGGTTTTTGCCAGAACTTTCCGATGCCCCTAGAGAAAAATTACTTGTGTTGGATGCAGTTTCCTGCAAAATGAACCAAAGCCAAAACCCATCCCTATCTCCCTCTGCCTTCCAGCCAAGAAATGCGGAGCAGTTAAATCAGAGTAAACACAGATCTCTTTCATTGCTGTGTTGACATCACCTCGTAGGGAGCGCAGGCTCGCCTATAAATCCTCTGTGGCCCGCGAGGCTCTCCTTCCTCTGCTGGAACATTCCATCGCCTGGAATGTTGCTCTTCTGAATTCGTGTATGGTTTTTAGATGTTTCTCAGTGGGAGACAGTATTGCACTTGGAGCCCGTGTGAGGACAACCTGTCCTTAGTTTGAAACTGACCGATGTTTGAGCTGCGTGACCTTGGGTAAGTTACTTATCCTCCCTGTCTCCGGTTTTTCATCTACTAAACGAATAATAATACTTACCCCCTGTGGTTATCGTGAGCATTAAATGGTGGACCTGGAGCTCACTGCGGACCTGGTACCTGGCATGTGCTCCGTACAAGGAGCTGTCGCCCGGCTATTAGTTACACCTGAGATGTGTGCGTAGGAAGCTGCACAAACAGGTGCACAGGTGAGGCGGCTGTGAGAGAGGCAAGAGGCCTGTGGAGCCCAGGTGAAGGTGATAGCACAGTCGGCCCTGTGCAGGGGGGCCGGGCAGGAGGTCAGGGGACGGCTGACCCAGCCGGGACCACCCTCACGCTGACCCTTCCCTCTTGGGAGAGCCTGAGAGAGTCCAGATGGCAGTCCTGTGGGATAAATGTTGGGAAAAACGTGCTCATTTTCGGCTGTGATTTTGGTTTCTTTGCATCATAGTTATAACCCTGTGTCTTTGCGGGAGGGGCCGGGGGCTGTGTGTTGCCCCCTTAGTTTCCGCTGTTGCACTTGAACCTGTCACTGAGCCTCGTCCAGAGTCATCCCACTCCCCTGTAGGAACACAGAGGCTTCAGTGCTGTTTAAAGAGGAAAATGTTGCATTTTCATAGTTATTTTTTAACAAACGGAGTTTTGTGTTTGCATGCGGGGCGATATTAGGGCTGAGGTAGGTCCGCGGCATCCCGGCAGAGCGTCTCCGGTGCTGGGGACGGGGAGTCTCTGTGGAACAGCCTGAACTCTCCCTCAGATGGTTTTGTTTGGAAACCACACGAGCCGGGTGTTTAACTTATAAATCGCTGGGGCTCGGTGCACAGGCCTGGGGAGGATCCTTCTCGGTGCTGCTTGAAAAGTCGGTCGTGAACAAGCTGTGAGGACGCATTTTATGAGCTTGTGAGAACGTTTTGATTCTGAACAAAGGAAGGAGAGTGAGCAGGGAGCTCTCTCCTCTCCTGTAAAGTTTCCGTCCAGACTTGAAGACCCACAGGGATTCGAGGAGACTGCAGATCAGAAGTTAGTAGGATTGGGGAGGCGTGATGGGCCTTCTGATGCAAACCAGAGCAAAAGTAAAACCCCTACTTTCACGGTCCGATTATTAGATATTAAAAAGCTACTACGTGTTACTAAATTAATTAAAAGCATTGTTAAGATAATTTAAAAGTGGTTCAGTGTCACTGAGAGCTCTTGGCTGGCGAGGACTGGGAAACGCTATCTGTGAGGCATCCGTGCAAACTCTGAGGAGTCATTTGGCAAAAGTGATCAGATGCGGGTGCCCTTTGCCCCCACGCTTCCATTGCTGAGGGTTTGCCCCACATAAATACTAGCAAAGGTATTTCAAAATGCAGGAGGAAGCCCGGCTCAGTTGGTTGGAGTCTCCTGGGCACCGAAAGGTTGTGGGGTCAATTGCTGGTCAGGGCACACACCCAGGTTGCAGGTTCGATTCCCGGTCAGGGAGTTTCTCTCTTGCATTGCTGTTTCTCTCTGTCCCTTCCTCTCTCTAAAAATCAATGAACATATCTTCGGGTGAGGATTTTAAAAATCAATTAAAAAGCTTGCTGCAGGAAGGTGTTAGCACAGCTTGTCCGGCAGCCTCCCCTGGAGCAGTGCTCACATCTCCGTGTTGGGTGCTGCTTCGCTACGTAGGGAGTCCGGTCGAAGGTGGGACTGTTTAAAACCTCCACGGTTTTTAAAGTTAGGTGAAGGCGGCAGTGTGGGAGTGGACAGAGGGGCAGGTACCGGTGGGGGTGGGCAGGTTGCCCGATGGCGGAAGGACCGTGAAGGCAGATGGAGGCTGCTTGGGGGGAGGTGGCGGGGCCCTCTCTGTCCCCTCTGTGTGGTTTGAATTATTTTACCATTGTGTTCATTTCAGTATAAAACAGGAACTGGGGGAACGGACCACTTTCACTGCGTTGCCACTTGGGCTTTGCTGAGTGTGAGCTGTGCTTCGTGACCAGCTCGGCACCCGGCACTCACACGTGTGTGTTTTTAATCACAGGACAACCAGGACGGCTCGTCCAGTGAAGGAATCTTTGTATCCAGAATAGTGGACAGCGGGCCCGCAGCCAAGGACGGAGGCCTGCAGATTCACGACCGGATCGTGGAGGTGCGTGGACACGGGCCAGTGGTTTCATGGCTGATCCCGCCCGTCTTGTCTGCTCGGCGACTGGTTCTGGGGCCTTGCAGGTGGCTGGGCGGCAGGCGCCACTGTCCAGTTGTGTGGACCAGGAGGATGGCGGCTGTGCGGTCTAGGTTTTTGTGTGTGTGACTCAGAAGCCGACCGCCGGTGGTGTGGTCGGCGTGTGGTTCTCTGCTCGTGGCCGTGGGCGCGTTTGGAGCTCTTTGTGGGGGCCCTCGGCACCTGTGTCAGCATGAGTTATCCTGAGGTCCCGGGGCTCACAGCACGGTGGTTCCGGGCACCTCTTTCTCTCATGTGTTTGTCTTCGCTGCCTGTTGTGGGTTGTATAGGCTGGTTGTTCAGCGACTTGCAGCCTGAGGCTGGTGTTCAGGACGGTCGCTCACCGTCCCCGACTTTGCAGCCTCAGGTCTTCACTCTCCATTTACCATGGGGCAGGCCCGTGCACCTACGAGGGTGAGGGGACCTCTGGGCCTGCACAATCCTCTCTAATAGTCATGGTGTCCCTGGGGCATCTGCACTGATGAGGGGAGCGAACCCCTCCTGCCTCCTAGTTTGGGCTCTTGTTGCCGAGTTTGAGACAAATGACTATTTTTGCGGGTGTTTTTTACCGTTCCGATGCTCTGTCAGGGGGTGAGTACATGAGCTACATTTGTGGGCTCCTGTGCGGAAAGACGAAACATGGGGCCCAGGGTGTGCGTTGGACCCTCAAGGAGCTTCTACATTAAATGGGAAACCGGGAAATAGCTCAGGCTCCTGGGTGTTCTGCTCTGCACATATTTGCGTGGCGTCTGTGTTTCTCAGGTGTTTTTTCGGCCCATTTCCAAAGCTTGGGCCGACTGGTGACCCGAGCCAGCGTGAGGACCATGTGGGGACGGGACAGGGTCTTGCTCTTCCTTCTCCTTTGGCCACACCCCAGTGGGGGACAGTGGCCCTGGGTGGCTCATCCTCACTTAGGTATTAAGAGGAGGCTGGGTTTTGTGTCAGGGACACCATCACATTGTCACACACTGTGATTTTTGAGGGTCCTTAAACTTGGGGCTCTTTATGCCAGGATTTGGGTCCCTTCTGTACTTGCTGCTTGGCGTTTGTTTGTGCAAGAGTCCATGTGTGTGCTGCCTTGTTTTTGAGAAGAAGGCATTTCTGAGTCTTGTTCACAAGGTGAGTGCAGCTCCGTTGCCAAGGGATGGGAGCGCCCGGCTCCTCTCAGCAGAGGGTTCCACCCTGTGTCTGTTCCGCAAATGAGCCTGCAGCTGGTGGCGTCTTCTCCTGGCAAAGGCGATGCCCCTGCGCATGTTTGGCGTGTTCCGGGAAAGTCACGTTCCCTGGACAGTGTGCAGAATGCTGACCGCGTCCGGTGCTGAGAGAGGCTCGAGGAGAGAGGACAGCTTCCCGTTTCCTTCTAAGGGCCTGGCCGTGACGGTGACAGAGCTGAAGTGGTCATTTTTGCACCAGTCTTGGTGCCTGAGGACAGTCCCTTCCATGTAGGAAGCAGCCAAGGAAACACGGTCACACGGGTAGGACAGTAAACGCCGAGTTGGGTGCCATCATTTTCAGGGACGCTCCCTTAACCCTTAACTTCAGTGTTGGCATGTTATTCAAGCGCCAACCACACGTTAACTCTTACTACTATGGTCCTTTAACTACTGTGTTTTGACAAATGAGACTTTTTAGATTGCTTAGTTAAGAACTAGTGGAAAAAACAAAATAAAATACCTATACGTGGCCCTGCTGGTGTGGCTCAGGGGTTAGAGTGTTGGTCCCCAAACCGAAGGNTAACTTCAGTGTTGGCATGTTATTCAAGCGCCAACCACACGTTAACTCTTACTACTATGGTCCTTTAACTACTGTGTTTTGACAAATGAGACTTTTTAGATTGCTTAGTTAAGAACTAGCGGAAAAAACAAAATAAAATACCTATACGTGGCCCTGCTGGTGTGGCTCAGGGGTTAGAGTGTCGGTCCCCAAACCAAAGGGTGGAGGGTTCGATTCCCGGCAACCAGTGTGTTTCTCTCACATCCATGTATGTTTCTCTCTCCCTCCCTCCCCCTCTCTCGCAAAATCAATGGAAAAAAAATATCCTCAGGTGAGGGTTCACAGCAACAAAAATAGGTGTACGTGTGACTCCGTGTGAACAGGTGCATGCATGAGGCTGAGCGAGTACCTGTGGGGACGTCACACCAGTAACTCGTGGATGTTGCGCTCACTGTGCACGCTCCCTCGTTGGCGACCCGAGACCAGGGCGGGGGTTTCCAGCTGTTTGGAATGTAGTGTTTCGTGACCTTGGTTTCTGCTTGGTAACAAATGAAAGGAGAAGCCCGGTGGTGTCTGAGGTGGGGGAGGCGGCCTGTGTTTGACAAGGGACTTAACTACTCGTGAGGCCTGTTCACAGGGAGCTTGGGTTAATTTGTTTGATACATTAAGTAAACTACGGTGTCGTCTGCTGAGGTCACTGCATTTAACAGAACATCAGGGGGCTCTGATCAGAGAGAGCAAGGGAGGAAGTTTCCTTTCCTCCTTCAGTTTGTTTGAAAGTCAAGTCCGTGGAAGTGTTTGTTGTTTTTTGCCATAATTAGAGCATTGAAGGCATCCAACTTGAGCTGTTTCTGGCCTTTTGGTATAATCGATCCCAGTTCTAAATTATATTTTAAAACATGAAGTTGTAGGGGTTTAAGAAGACCTGGGCAGGGAACCCAGTGTTGGTTAGCAGCATGGTGTGAGACACACCAGCCAGGACAATAGGGACAGCACCCTGTCATCTCCCGGGGCCACAGGTGGTGTCGGGATTAGCCCGAGAGGCGAGCGCTGACATCCTGGGCCCGGGAGAGGGCTCCTTGGGAGTCAGATCTGGCATCTCACACTGATCAGCAAGCGTAACTGAGTGTTTCTCAGACTGGTCACTCCCACCTCCTGCTCAGTTCTGCATGTGTTCCCCACCTACTCTGTCAAATGCTAACGTGTTTCTTACAGCAGTGTGCTTTTGTGTCACCTGAATTAAAGGGAACTGTGTGTCCTGATCGTCCATGAGTCATATTCGTGGCTGTAAAGAGAAGACAGTAAAATAAATACAGTGAAAGCGTGGAGTCTGCCCGAGCCTCGCTTCCTCTGGGTTTGCAAGCAGAGTCCTGCGTATTGGATGTCAGGGTGGTGACGGGTCTCTGGTGTGGGTTCCGCTTTATCCCCGGGCTGGGTGATGGTTAATGACATGCTTGTGCTGTGAAATGCGTCGCGATGCAGGANTGGATGTCAGGGTGGTGACGGGTCTCTGGTGTGGGTTCCGCTTTATCCCCGGGCTGGGTGATGGTTAATGACATGCTTGTGCTGTGAAATGTGTCGCGATGCAGGATTCATTCACTCCCGTCTGGGTGTTCCATGTAGATCAAGTTAATTTACACTATGGTGTGCAGGCCCAGGCAGGCTCTGTCCCCAGAGGTAGTCGGATGTTGGGGACAGAAGGACTCGCTCACCTTGCCAGAGGCCTTTTAGCGCCACCCAGAGTCACGTACCCGGGTGCCAGTGCTCCTGGCCTCCCCCACATCCCGCTGGGGGCCTAGGGTGCAGCCACATTAGTCTGGTCGGGTGAGAAATGAGCTTTGAGAGATTAGGATCCACTACAGAGAGGATTAGGTCCATCAGCTTGAGGAACCGCAGAGGCAGAAAGGTAAAGACTGGTGTCATGGCTGGAAATTGGGGGATTTGTCTTTGATGAAGCTTTGTTTCGGTGAATTTTTGGAAAAGTGTGCTGTCGTCAGGCTTTCTGGTGGGAGCTGTGTGTGGCGTGTGCCCTGGTGGGTTGGCACAGCCAGTGGTGACGTGAGCCCCCTGAGGCTGGACGGTCGCCCAGGGAGCATCGGCAGATGGTTTTGGTGCTGACCTTGTGGAAGAAAGAGGTTGTATGTACAGCCCAGTGTCGCGCTCGCAAACCTGAGTGGTCATGGCACACGTGCAAAACTGAGAAACAAGCTCTCAGAAACTGAGAGCGTTCACGAGGTGTTTACCCTTCCACGGGTAGGCTGGGCTGTGCTTCTACTTTTATTTGTTTTTGTTGTTGTTGTTACTCCACACACGAGGATATTTTCCATTGCTTTTCAGAGAGAGTGGAAGGAGAGAGAGAGAAACATTTTATTTATTTATTTTTATTTTTTAAAAATATCTTTTATTAATTTCAGAGAGAGGAAAGGAGAGGAAAGNTTATTTATTTATTTTTATTTTTTAAAAATATCTTTTATTAATTTCAGAGAGAGGAAAGGAGAGAGAGAGAGAGAGAGAGACAGAAACATCAATGATAAGAGAGTCACTGATCAAGCCCGCAACTGGGCATGTGCCCTGACCGGGAATCGAACCCTGATCTCCTGAATCCTGGGTCGACGCTCAACCGCTGAGCCACGCCTGGCCGGGCGAGAGAGAGAAACATTGATGTGAGAGAGACACATCGATTGGCTGCCTCCTGCATGTGCCCTAACTGGGGCTGGGGATTGAACCTATAACCGAGGTACGTGCCTGTGACCCATAGGGAATCGAACCTCTGACCCTTCGGTGTGCGGGCCGGTGCTCTGTCCACTGAGCAACACGGGCCAGGGCTATTCTGTTTTTTAACGCTGTGTGCTCACCTCTCAGTTGCTGCTCTCCTGGCTCACTAACGGGCAGTGGCCAGCAGTTTGAAGGCTTTGGAGGCCAGGGCTGTACTTTCCTTGCTGGCTGCAGACGTCCTTTATAACATTACGCTCCCAGGTCTCCCGCCTGCTGCTGGCTCATCCAGGTCCTCACCTGCTACCAAACAGGGGAGTCAGCTCTGATACTTGACTATAATCTGGCCTCCGCATCCCGCCTCTGTGGACCTTGTGGGATGGGGGTGTCCCTGTGAGGTTTGCAGGGGCAAGGCCGGGGTGGGTGCCGCTCAGGGCACACTCCTGAGCAGGGACACGTTGGCCGAGCTTTGTGTCTGCTGTGCTCCCAGGACCCTGCATTCC